CTATAACGGAGGCTCATATTGCAGTTGTATTCTTTTTATTCTTCCGTAAATACAAGTCATGATCTCCATTAGTTTAACAGTGAAAACGTTGATGTCTATACCCTTTACTGTAATCCTGTAATAATAAACAAATATAGTACTTAGACTTCGTTCGTTATTATTTTACCTTTCGTTGCGTTACAATCTAAGTATACTCATTAACTTGTTATACAGTTTTTCTAATAAGGGCTTTCGCTTACACGCTTTCGCTTACACACTTAAGTTATAAGACTTACTTCTAGGTTTGGACATTATTGTTACTTTTGCATTTTAAATTATTAGCCTTTAACTATTGTTATATAATAAAAAAGATAGAATAAATTACCTTGACTTAAGAAATATCTGTTAAATGTGAAGCGCTCTTTTGCATGAAACCACATGGTTTCGGACATCTTATAACAAGAAATAGTACCGGAAGAACAAAAATGACTGCGTTTTAACAATGTAAAAAATATATATATATTTAACTGCAAAAATGTAAATAATGAAAACCAAAAGACAATAATAATTTAAAGAAACACAATCACAAAGTGTAAAAGATAAGTTAAGTAAGCTATCTTCGTGCAGAACTTATTTTCCCGCGTAGTAAAATAAACGCAAACAAAAAAAATGCATACTTCCGTCGCAATCTTGTGAGAGCATCTATCGCAATCACTAACATTACTGGCTGCAGTTACAATTTATAACTAGCAACCTTGAACATTGGTCCCTTATTTACATAAATCTTTCCATGACTTTAGCTTGTAAGTCTGCCTTAAGGGCACACAACTTTCTTGTTTTACTTGTCAAGTGCATATACTGTCCACATACTTGTATTTAATCTTTCTTTTTCTTGAAACCAGTACACCATGTAGTTACATATACATTTTTTTTTCATATCAAATTCAAATCAAATACAATAACATGTAAAAATACTTTAAATCAAAATAACAAATTCGCAAAATAATATGCTAGTACCAGTATTGGCAGTTGTGATCTTCAATACAACATTTAAATAGTTCCTACTGATACTCTCCAGAATTCTTTAACACTGTCATATTTTTACCCATTGATAACGGTCTTAGTATACAATTTATATTCTTAACTACACTGTACTAACCACTCTTTCTGACTTTGTTAAGTAATCAAAGATTCCTGTGGATTTACTTTTTGCATATTTTGATCATTAAACCTATTTTGTTTACTAGTATTCATTTTATTCCTTTTATTTCTATACTTAAGTTTTTTATTGCTGCAGCATACATTAAGTTTTTCTCCTGTGAAACACTAACTTGAGTTTCATATTTTCTGTTTCCTTTCAACATTATGAGTTTTTCTTTATACTTTTCATAAAAAGCTAAGTGTGCCTTATACAATATATATGCATTTGAGTTCCCTAAAGTTTGTCTGTGCCATATGATACCAGATTAACTTTTGGCTGAAGTAAATATTAGAGTCGGGCGGATTTAGGCCGTCTTCTGGGTCTTCCGGAAGACGGTCAAATTTCAAGTTTACATTGACGGGTATGTATTTTTTTTCTGTCGGAAGATGGTCAAAATTGAGGATGGGTCAAAAAAAAGCTAATTTGGAAGACTGTCAGAAAATATCTCTGGATCCGCTCCTGAGAGTGATGAATATTTCACAGGGAGGACACTCCCTCTGTCTACCACATACAGTAGTGATAAAATGCTACACTCTTCTTCGTGTCAGTCCTGCTGTTTTTTGGTCTTAAGAAACAAAGTGCATATGTAAGTTTGCGAGGACATTTTTTCCAGACTGCCAACATTCAGCAGTTTGCTTTGTTAATGACCTTTCTTGAACCTTCAGTATATGCTGTACACTTTTCTCCAATAATTCTGTACATATAACATATGGGACATGAAACATTTCCCTCACTTGATTAGTTCAAGAAGATGAGTCTGTCCTTGATTTTGAAAACATTGACACAATATATCAAATGCCCTGCCAGATTTTCTGGTTAGTATGTCCAGGGAGAGGCCAGTTTTCTCTGGGCATATTACCTTGTTAGCTGAGGGCTCTTTCTTCACTGTTGCCATTTCACGGTCAGTGATAATGCCTTCTTGGAAGAATTTATTCAACATGTCCAGGAGACAAGGTCCTGTGATGTTTTCACATAGTTCAGTTTTTTGTTTACGCAGAACTGAAAATGATTAAACATTATAGTGTATTATTTGTTAAAAGCTACACTCATGTTTTGAAGATACCAGATCAAAGTCTTTGTGTGAGGCATTGCAATTATCAATTTTATATTTATTGTAATAGAAGCTGAATAATGAAAATACCTGATCACTAGTTTATGTACTCTATATATGCAGTTTACATAATAATTGTACATATATTGCACATATTAAAGGGATAATAACTCTTCCTATGAGATCTATATTTCACAATAAAAAGCTTGTAAACAACTCATAGAAATATAATATAATATATTCTGTTTTACCACAAAAACAGCAGCTATAGCTATTATTCTGATATCTTAGCTTGTCTTTAGACCACATGACCTCCATAGATGGCTGTACCCTGTTATAATCTCTTAAGAGATTATAACATAAAACCAAACTTTTTAGAAAAAAAACAGGGACTAACTTTGAATGTAGAAATGGATTTGCTAACCATATGGAAAAATTGTTGTTTACTCTGGAAAAATTCATTTTTTGGCCAAAACGAAAAGCTATTATCCCTTTAAAGTACTGTTTTAATTTTTCCTTTTGGAAGATTGTCAAAAATGGAGGATGGATTAACAAAGATAATATAGAAGACTGACAGAAAATATGTCTGGATCTGCCCCTGTAAGGTGAAGAAAAGTTTTAAACATTGTTATATAATAAAGGTTTTCAAAAAAGCAAAAGAAGTATGAAATCAAAATTCTATTTTTGTCAATGCTGTGCTTACCCTCATGCCAGCTTGGTGGATAGACCAGGTTTGCAGGAATGGAGACACCAGTTTTGACACATGTCACCTGCTTTTCTTTGGGACCAAAACCTGATACATTGGGTTGGTCAAGAAACTCTCCAGGAAAAAGAGTTGGTGATTTCTGAGTATATCTTTTTCTCTTGATTGGTACATGTACTTCTTCTGGATCTTGAATAGTGGTTAGGGGAACATTAGGTGTTTCTTCAAGAAGGAGGGGTTGGTGTTCACTGTCCTCGTTGTCCTCACTCATACAGTGGGGACATACCAGGTACTTGTCATATCGCAACCCACGCCAGTCCTCATGAATGATGTCCATGAGGTCACGGTGGGCACGTTTTAGAACTTGCCACTGGTCGAAAAGATCTGTTCCACGGACAGCTATACTGATAATCCAGTCTGGGTCTTGCCCAGGACTAAGATTTTGCTGGTCTCTCCCCTTTGTCAGCAGCATTTTGCACCTCTCAAGTTCTGCATACATCCCATTCCTCCAGTCCATTCGTTTGGTCTTTAGGTGTCCAAGATGCTTGTGCTGACGAACAGAAAATTTCTCATATAAGCCATCTGGACACCTGTATGGAAAGATAACCTGAAGAGTTAGTTGATTGATGTCTGGGGGAACCTTGCTGGGCCATTTGGTTTCTAGTTCAGGTTGTCTTTTTTCTTGAAGGAGACATGGAAAGTGAAAAGAAAGGTTAGACTCATGTTCCTGAACTTGGAAACACAGCTCAAGTTTCAGCAACAGATCTATCATGGCATCAACTTCAGTGGGGGACAAATTGAAGGGCTCACACAAGCAGCTCATAGCTTGTCTAGATATGATGCCTCTGGTGAAGATGTCTTCATGTAAGGTGTGTGCTTTGTTTCTGGTAAACCTCATGGACACCTGGAGTTTTTGTAAAACTGCCTTTGGATCATGACTAAGTACTGCCTTGAGCACATTTTCAAGAACTTCTTGCTTGTGGAAAACAACTTTCATCAGCAAGGGGCTTTTATCAAACCAAATAATGTCTCCACGATGAGCAAGGAAACTTAAGATGTCACACATTATTTTCTTTGTTTCTGCATGTGAGTTCCTCTCTCTCCATGCGCGAGGTGCAGACTGCATAATGAGTTCTTGAAGCATCTCCCAACCAAGCGTGTTCTCAGAGCCCTCTTGTTTCTTGGTGCAGATGTTCTTGGCTGCATCCACCCACATTCCTGGCAAAACTTCAGCATTTCCCCTGGCAAAATCAATGAGGTACTTTTTCAAATTTTCAACTCCACTCATGTTTTTGGAACTCACCCTGAAAATATGCTCATGGATGGGTTGAACTTGATGAGACAAGGACTGCATTTTATCTACTTTTTCTTGGTAAGCCTGGCGAATAGCTGGTGGGAAGTCACTTGTTTCTTGTATTTTATTCTCAACAGTCTCTTTTTGTATTTCATACCACTTTTTATTTTTGTTTTTGTGGTCTTCGAGTTGTTTCTTTATTGCAGAACATTTTGTTTCCACACTTTGGGCTTCAGCTTCATCAAGATGAGTTCCAATAAGTGCAATTTGTATCCCTGGCATCTGTGCTTGCACCTTGTCAATCCAGTCTCCAATATAGAGCTGATAATGAGCCTCATTTTCTGGATCATATTTTGAAAGGTCAAAAGTGATGAAAACCAAGCTACTGGTATGTTTGGACATGAAAATTGGATGTCCTATTTTGTAGACCTCATGCCCCCCAAAGTCATTGATATTGAAGGCAATATCTTGGTCAGCCTCCCATGTTCCCTGCTTTACCACTCTTGTCCTGTCTACCATCTCTGTGAGGGTTGACTGTCCACTTTGCAGTGTTCCTGAAATGCTTGTTTTTCCTGCTTCTGTCTCACCAAGAAAGTTGACCTGAATTCTACTTGACTGGATTGCCTTGGTGTCAGTAATGGCCTGAAAATACCTCTTGATGGCATCTAGTCCCTGCTTGGCTGTATGTATAGGTGGTTGTAGCAGAGGATTACCTACCACATCTAGTTCTTTTAGACTTGCCATGTTCTTCATCTCAACTGGCAAGTGAGTTATATTATTAAATGACATACCAAATGACTGTAGTTTGTCCATTGTGGTAGCCTCAGGAGGTATGTCAGATAACTGGTTGTCACCCAGGTCCAGCTCTTCTAAGTTAGTCAAATCACACAGTGCTGTGGGAAATGTTTTGAATTCATTGTGAGAAAGCCAGAATATTTTAAGTCCTTTCATCCCATTGATTTCTGTTGGTATGTCAGATAGCTGGTTTTTGTCCAGATACAGAACCTCTAAGTTAGTCATGCCACACAGTGCTATGGGGAATTTAGTGTATTCATTCTTATACAGCCAGAATTTTTTCAGTCTCACCAGCCTGATGATCTTCTCTGGTATGTCAGTTAGCTGATTGTCACCCAGGTAAAGCTCCTCTAGGTTAGTCAAGCCACACAGTGCTATGGGGAATGTCGTTAAGGCATTGTGATCGAGCATGAATATTTTGAGCCCCTTCATATTTGCGATTTCCTTTGGTATATCAGACAGCTTATTGTTATTCAGGTAAAGCTCTTCTAAGTTAGTTAGGTGACAGAGTGCTATGGGGAATGTTGTGAAGGCATTCCTGTATAAGTCCAGCACTGTGAGGTGTGGCAGGTTGGATATGGACTGTGGTAAAGAAAATAACCTGTTACCCCCTGCTAATATATGCTTAGCATTTTTGCACCTGTCAATGGACTCAGGTAGACTGTCTTCTATATCAGCATGACTTATATCTAGTTTAGTCCATTGCAACACAGTTTCTAGTATCTGGGGCGTTGGAGACAACTGTAATCCATATAAGAGATCAAGACATTCATTTTCTGCTGCTACTTGTCTGTTAGCCATGTCGGTAGAGAGGAGATCCTACTGGTTCTGTTAAGTTTGTGTTGGTCTGTGTTACCATTGAAATTCAGAGAAGGGGAATTTTGTTTACTTTGCTAAAGAAATACTTTAGTTTTCCCCCTGATTAGAAGCGAAAGCAGTTGATATTTTTACTGCAGTGCAGCCAAGCAGGTTTGTATATCCTAGATTTGATCTTCTTTGTCTTCTTCATCTTTATCTTCTGATAATTTGTAAATTGTGACCATTTCCACTGCTGGTTCTGGGCCTTAAGCTTGTTTAATATGCTGAAAACTCTTTTTCTTTGGGTTTTAATAGCTCTATGCATATAACTTCTGGATAGGATTTGTCACCTGAAATGAAAAATTTGAAAAAAAAAAAAAATTAATTATCTAAATGCATACAATGCATATATTTGATTTAAAATTGGCTGTGATGTTGCCCTTAGAAGCTATCTTGGATGACTTCTCATCCCCCCCCCCCCCCCCCCCAAATCCAAAACTGTTGAGAAGTTAAGATCATGAATACCCCAAGAGCATACTGTCATTAAACTAATAATTCATGTTGTGCAGAAAGTGGCATTGGCTGTTCAAAGAGTTGCATCTTTACTGTTATATATGTAAACTCATCCAATACAACAGCGAGGGAAAAGTTTTAATAGAATGAAGCACATATTGTATTGACAATTTTAAGAGGAGGGAACAGATTTAAATTGAGACATGCCCATCTATTTTATTCTAACAGATATTTACTGTTTAAAAATATGTTATATTTACAATGATATTTCACCATGTAAAGACCAACTCTTCAAGGACAATCTTGGATATGCAACTTATATATTATCAGTTGATTACTTTCACTAAGTATATAATATCTAATTCAAGAATACGTAAGAGGCACATGTTCAATTTCCAATCTCCTTCAAGCTGCATAGTAAAAATGATGCCTGCATGCTTTTAAAAGTCATTTATCAACAGAAAAAAATGATATGTTTATTGTTAAATTTTTTGCATAAAGTTAAATGCATGATTAAATGAATTCATAATAATTGAACTGGCTTGAGCCAATTTGAAAAGCCTTACCTTTTCTCATGTCATATACTTGCTACCCCTGCAAGCCATTATTTTTTTCACAGTGTATCCACCATCCTTTTATCGGTGTCTGATGGACATAGAAAGAAATGTTACAAGAAATTATACAATTGTGAAAGGAAAAAATCCAGAAAAAATAAGTAGTACGGATGGGTTCAGGACTTGCCAAACATTGG